CTGTAGGGTTGAGGGTGGCACAGGGGGTATACAGGAAATCTCTGTACTTTTCACTCAATTTTGCTATGAAACTCAAAATCGTACTTTTGAGTACGCAGAAGTGTAATTTCCACTCAATTTAAAACTGGTCTAAAGTATAAAGTTTATTAATTTTTTTTAAAATGACGTGTGGCTTTATCTTCAGCCTGCAGCCAGTGCAGATTAATTCCTGTGACACCCTGCTGAAATGTGAAAGGGTTAAAGAATAATTAAAACCTGAAACTGGACAAAGGAAGTCTATACCTTAGGCCTAGTTTCTGGAACCCCTAACCGCATTCTGTTAATCATGAAACTTGTAACAATGAGCTCATACGCTAACTGCCACTTTTAGCCTGTATAACCCTGCTTGCTTGCGTGGCATGAAAAATAATCAATTGTATATAAGCTGAAAATTACTGTTTGGCCATCGCCCATGGGAACACTGGCTATTGCCCATGGGAACATAGGCAATCACCCATAGGAACATAACATTCTAACGACAAGCTTTCTGTTTCTGTACTCCCTGCTTGCACACCCGACCAGTGGGTTGACAGGTAGTGAATAGGAGAAAGATGGACCTTTGTGTTTAAGACAGAATGAGGAATGGGATTTAGGGCTTAAAAATCTTGTATCTTGGCATTTCGGGGCTGCTCCTTTGTACAGGACAGCCGCCGGCTAATAAACAGCCTTTAAGAGCATTCTATACAGGCCACAACAATTCCTAGATGGGAAACTCATGCATTCACAAACTTAGGTGCAGACAGGACCTCCGACATCACTCAGCAATCACACTGGGCAGAGAGCAGACATCCAGAGATCAAATTGCAACTCCTCTACTTAGCATCTGTGTGCCTTGGGCAATTTACTTAACCTCTGTGAGCCTGTTCTTCCAAGTGTAAACTGGAGGTAATAATGGGATTTATCTCAGAGAGCTGCTGGGATTAAATGAGATCATTATGGCAAACCCTTAGCCTAGGCTCCACCAATGTCAACTATTTTTAGCATTATTATTATGAACTACAACATTCATTCATTCATTCATTCAATAATAATTAAATGAGCAGTGTGCAAGGTATTACAGTGAACAAGACGGATGCCCTCACAGAGCTTACTGTCAAGTCCAGCCTCCCTCAGGGCACCTGGCAGCGTTAGAAACACAAGACATGATCCCATTTGGGTTGGGCAGGCAAGCACCCGCTGATACACACACCCCGGAAGCGGCTTCAGGGGCCGTCAGCAGGCAAGCTGTTGCTCAGATGATTTTGTGACTAGAGGTGATGTGGCACAGCACTGGGCTGCCTGGGTTCCATCCAACCCCAGGCCCACTGCGTCTGAGCTGCAGGACCTTAGGCAAGTTCCCTACCTCCTCTGTGCCTCGGTCTTCTCATCTGAATGAGGCAGCGGCTAACAGAAGCTACCTTGTGAGTTTTGGGGAGGATTAAACAGTGTAACATACGTCAAGTGTAGAGCGTGGCACTGGGCACAGAGTGGCTGGTGACGTCTTAGCGACTGTTTGTTCTTGTTCTTGTTTCTGTTCTGACTCATTAGCAGTTTGAACGCCGACCCCAGTGGGATTGTAACCAGGGGAAAGTGAGGCTTCCTCGGTGGTGACTCAGAAATCCAGGCAACTGAGTCATTTCAGCAGCCTGGCGGAGTTCCCAAGAATATGCCTACCTCGTGGGTGTTTATCCCACGGATAGGCTTGCACAGGTGTGAAATGATTTATAAGTCATCCATTGCTACGACCTAGTAATAGCAAAAGAATAGAAGCAGCTTAGAAGTCTGTGATTAGGACACTGGTTAAAAACTCCATGACTCACTCACCCAAAGAGAAATATCAGCCAAAGCAGCTGCATGTGAAATGATGTGGAAAGATTTCCAAGAGAATTGTGAAGCGCGAAAAGCAAGGGGCAGTGCAGTGTCATGTTCTATGTTTAAACATGTGCGTGCACACACACACACATACACACACACACACACAAAGAAATGCACACGTCAGTGTTCTCTGGTAACATAAGGGTGGCTGTCTCTGGAGGGGACGCTGGTAGGCTGGGGCTCAGAGGTGCGAGAGACATGTTCTTTGCACTTTGTGCTGTTTGCACCTTTTGAATTTGAAGCCATCTACGTGTTCTACTTTTTTTTTTTTTAAAGGGTAAGCAGAGATTGGAGCTGATTCAGCAATCAGCACTCTAGGTCATTGTCTCTTGTTAAACATCTTTTGCTGCTCTCCAAGCAGATGGCCCTGGGAGGAGTTGGGCCGGGGCCAGTGGGCAGCCTCCCTTCCCTGTGGGTATGTGGAGAGCCACGTGAGGCCCTGCGGTCGGGCACATGCCTCCAGCTGGGTCTTCCTGTGTGGCGGAAGGCCCGGGGTGCAGGGCTGAGACTAGTAAAGAGTGGGCCCCAGCTGCCTGGCAGAGGCTGCACACACAGTGCAAGGTCCTAATATCTGGGTCTGGCCTAGGCAGCTTTCCAGGGCAGACAATCATGACACAAAGGCTCGTTAGAAGCACCAGGAAAGGACCTTCATCGCAGCTGCTTCTCTCCATTCACAGGGCAGTTCTGTAGTGAAACTCAGGGCCAGAGCAGCCCAAGGCTCAGGAAACAGATTTGGAGGGGCCAGGGTTTCCTGACCTGCTCTGGGCATCAGTGGGATGGAAAGAGCCCAAAGGAACCTGGGTTCTTAATTCTTCATCCATCTGCTTGGCTGCAATATAAAGATTCTTTTCAGAACTCTCCCTGAAGTGACCCTCCAGCTTTGGGACACACACGGCATTGTGTGCAGAGACTTTCCCTGTAGCCAGCAAAAGGGACAGAAAGGCCCTTTCAGTTAACCGCAAAATAAGCAGGGCTCTGTCCAAAGACAGGGCCCTTTGCTTCCTGGGCCCCTGGCAATTCATAGACTGTCTGGGCATTGTTCATTGCCTATGGTTAATTGGATTCGGGTTTTCCAAATGCCCTGGAGCCAACAATTCTCTATATATACCTGTAGAAAAAAACATATGTATGCATGCAAACAGATATTCTTAAAGCAAATATCCTTCATACCTTCGTGGCACCAGGAACCAGGGCTCCTATGAGAATCTAATGCCTGATGATCTGAGGAGGAGCTGAAGGGTGATGCTAGCCCTAGGGAGTGGCCGCAGATACAGATGAAGCCTCACTTGCTTGCTGGCCACTCAACTCCTGCTATACAGCCCGGTCTAATGGGATTGAAATACAACAAACCGCCCCAAAAGCTGCAAGTCAACTGATACATAGTAATTAAAATAGTGATCAGAACTGATCAGGAAATAAAGAGGGTGCTGAAAATAGGAATTCTGAGAAGGCCTCTAGGGGATGGTGATTTTAGCAGCAATGGGAAGGATGAGCCAGGGAGAAGTTCCAGGGCCGGCTCTTGGCACACAGAAGGAAGCCCCTGCAGCTAGGGCACAGGGAGGGAAGGTCCTCAAATCAAGTTTGGGGAACCAGGGCCTGCTAGGGCAGGAGGGCCACGGTAGGGGGCTGATATCAATCTAGGTAAAGCATGGAGGGTGTGGACCAAAAAAAGGTTCTATGGAAAACAACCTCACAGGGTGATCTGATCATAAATTCACAACTGGGCAGGTCACAGTGGGTAGTCACGCCTCAGGCCTATAACTTCTTTAGTAAAAGGCTTGGCTTTGCCTTAAGCCCTGTCTACTGTTTCTGTGCATCCAGGTTCACGCACCTTTGCAATGTGCCTCTTTTCCTTAGAAAGCTTGACCACCTAATCTTAACTATCCTATAATCCTGTCCCCACCCCGCTTCCTCCCGCCTTCTTGCGACATTCCTTAGTTCCCTCCTTAATTCCAAAAGCGGAAAAGAAGCTGCACACTGTCATTTTGGGGGGAAGCATTGATCCCAGTCTATTGAAATCTCGCTTCCAGACATATCTTCCGTTTGACCCGAATAAATTTTTATAAAAATTCTCTACAGGTTGGGACATTCTTCAAGTGACAAGGGTTTAAGCAAGGACGTGACTGGTCTGGTATTTGCCTTGGGATCACTCTGGCTGCTGCGTAGGAAGTGAAACCTCTCCAGTCACTTCTGAGTTGGTGCAGGGAGCCTGGGGCCATGCGGGGGCGTCCAGGAGTCAGGCTGGCTGCACCCCGAAGCCGCCGGGATCTCCTTGGGGGTCAGGAACGCCGAGATGAATAAGGAGCCACCCGGGCATGCTTTTTTGTTGCTGCCCTGAGAACCTCAAAGATGCTCACTCCGGAGAACGTGACTTCCCCAGCCTTTCAGAGTACTCGGGCTCCCAGCCACGCTTTGCTGGTCACGTGGGCAGCTTGGACACTTCCCTTCCGTGTCTTAGTCTCCCCATCTGTCAAAGGGGATGTCGGGCCAGCTCTAGGGTGACAATCTGGGACTCCGATGGTGCATCTCGTTAAGTTGGGCCGCGGGCACTGCCGGGTCAGAGGCGGCATCGAGCGGCACAGCGGGGTTGGCTTCCCGCTGGGGAGACTGAGGCACGGCGGGGCCGGGAGCGCGCGCCTCCGAGGCTCCCGCGAAGTTCAAGCCCAC